GTCTGAATCCTTTTCTCCAATTCTGCTGTCAGTGTCCACGACTCACAGGCGTATAAATATATTGAGATGACCAGTGAGTGCATTAGTCTGATCTTCGAGTTGGGCGTGATGTTTCTGTCCCTCCAAATAGGCTTCAGTTTTTACGATGCAGCTGCTGTTTGCGCGATTCTGGAGAGAATTTCTGGTCTTGAGCCTTCATCTGAGACTATTGGTCCAAAGTATTTGAAGCTGTTGACGGTCTCTAGTTTCTCGCCCCTGACTTTGATATCCACGTTGATGCCATTGGTGTTATTGGTCTTTACCTGGGTTTTCTCGGGACTGATCTCCAAGCCGTAGGCTGCTGAGGTTGTGTCCAGGCGCTCCACCAGTGTGGCGAGTTCCTGTTCTTCTGCTAATCCATCAATGTCATCGGCAAAACGCAAGGTTATTTCACTCTTAGGTTAAAGTGTAAATTCAAAGTTGCAGACGTTCTGCTTAAAGGTGACTGACTTGATTATTTTTTTTTCTAAAGCTTGTATTTTTAACAATCTCAAATTGATTGCGAATTGTATTCAATTGTAATAGAAGGGAAGTAACTGTGTAGATATATAAAGAGCCACTTCAATATTTGGATTATATTCCTTGAAAATATATCGGCACGAAAATTCGGCGTCAAAGAAACGGTTGTTTCCCTTTGACCGTAACAGTTCCCACTGACTCTCGCAGTCGCAGTGTGGGGAGGGATTTGGGTTTGTTTTTTTGTTTGGTTGGTTGTTTTGCTTGTTGGGGTTTTTTGTTGTGTGTGTGTTGGGGGGGGGGCATTGTTAATTTTTTAATTTATTTTTTTTTTGGGGGGGGGGAGGGGAGGCACGTATCAATGTGCATATAGGTTGCGGGATGCTTCGACCCTTCCTGTTCAGGCCAACCCGGGATCACTGTGGATACCTCATCACAGAAGACAGACACAGATACTCGTTAAAAACTTTATATTGCGCGTGAAACTGAACACATGCATTCTGCCTGAAACGTCGAAGATCTTAACTACTATTCACCCCTGACGCTGATTATGATTATAGGTTTCCTGTAAGGTTTTCTTTTTGTAAGGTCCAGTCCTTTCACACGTGCTGTTGTATTGGGTCACACTACCCATACTCTTATATGATTAAATCCTTTTTTTACATTTTATACGGCGCACTACATAATATAATTCACGATATACATGACTTTTCAAAGAGCAAATTAAGTACATACCCACGGAATTGTTGACAGTGCTTATTCTGACAGCAGAATAATGCATCGGTGTGTTTTTGTTTATGTTTTTTAGGGGGGTTGGGGGGGGGGGGTCTTTTCTATTCTTTACCACGACACCCAAAAGGGTGTTAGCGGCGGCTAAATGTAAAGTTTCTATTCTTTTTATATTTCTAGATGGCATTCAAATGTCAGTTTTTGCTAAATTCAGGTGGAACCTAATTTGAATGATGGCAAGGATTCAATCCATATATATAGCATTTCCCTTTTCTTATATATTGGACTTCCCCAGGTAAATAACCATTCGCTGTTTCTGACAACATTGTTTTCTTTGCCACTGCATCAAAAGCGGCATGCATTGCACCGACATCTGTGGTGTACCTGTTAAGACCTTGGCCGTCGTACTCTCAAGACGTGAGTTCGATTGCCGAGAAGGAAAGTTTCCATGAAGTATTTCCGTCTGTCTTATTGGACGCAATATGTAACAAATGGTTGGCTATACAGGAATTTTTTTTATAATTATTCGGGCTCTTCTAGTCTAAATGTCTGGACAAGGACATACCCATGAGTTCCGATAATTTTTTGCTTCTTTTCCGGTTGAACTTGAGGGACTTTTTCGTTATTACTACTTTCCAATAACCGGCGTCTATGATGTAGCGGTTGTAGGTGCTTCGCCATCGTGTGCAGGAGACCCAAGTTCGATTCCCAGCTGCGGAATTTTTTGTTATCGAGTGTCGCGATCGGGTTTTTCCACTGGGGTGTTATTGTTACATGTATATA